GCTATTAAAGTGGATATTTCCAGTCTATTTTTATCTGCATTGATCTCTCTCATCTCAAAAACTCTGCTGTCCCTGTCACTTCTATCACGCTGAGATGGCTTCCCTTGCACCAGCCTCCTCTGGGCTGGGGAGGAGGAGTTCAGTTTCCAATCCTAGGTTTCATCTGTCTCTCGTGTCTCAGTTCTGGACATGCATTCCAAACTGATCTTCCTGTGAGGAGGATGACGTTCTGACATAGTCTGGTGACTCAACTGTCTTGAACAAATTAGAACTAGAAGAAATTGACTTTGTTTTTCACAACTTGGGACTCATTTGACTTTACTTATATAAGAGGCTATGGAGAATGTGACTGGATTATTTTGGCTTTTTAAGTGCAAAGTGCCCAGGTTCCCAGTAAAAACTAATCTCCATGTATTGTCCCTTTTAGACCCAGATAAAAAGTTCAAAGAGACATTTCTTTCTAGCAAATGACAAATATGCTGCCAGCTTCCTTTAGATGCAGTAAGAACAATGCTTTTAATTCTGCCTCCTGACTCTCTACCTGAAGATCATCAAATAAGCAGATAGAACAAGAAAATGAAATTTTAGATGTTATGGAAATGAAATGCTCAAATGACACAAATGACAATGGGCAATTTTCACATCACTCAATAAACTGAGGCTCTATTCAGTCCTTATTTATGCCATGAGTTATTTTGAGTTTAACTTTTTAAAAAAGAATGTCAAGGAATGAAATTCTCACCCCTGGTTTTACAGGAGAGAATCTGCCTAACTAAAAAACTTCCAAGGGAAGAAACTAGCTTCTTTGATGGGAAAGGGACCACAAACCCATGACCCATGGGGATTCCCTACTGAGGAGTGAGAACATTGTTTTATTTTGCCCCCAACAAAATAAACTCTTAAAGAAGTAGTGCAACAGCATTTGGGATGATGCAGCCTCTTTTTACAAGAAATAACTTTCTTTTTAATATATTCCCTTGGGCACTGGAAGGAAAATCTTTTTGCCTCTTAACTGCTGATTCAGTGACCTGAGAATTGGGTCAAAATGAAAAAACAATCCACAGTTCTGCCTTTAGTTTGCTTAAGAGAAAAAATGTCTTTAAAAATTATGTATTTTGTTTTTTTTTAAAGGAGACACATACCCGAATGACAGATAAATGGAATACTGATAAATATGGTATAATTTATGGCTGTGGTTATATTTTTTTGTTAATTATAATTCCAATCAGTATTTGTAATTGACAATGTCCAATAACATCCCTTTTTCAAAAAGTACTTGTGCTTTTTTTTTTGTTGTTGTTCTTTTCTTAGGTTTGTCTTTATTGTCTCCACTCTTCTTAGCTATAGAGAACCTTAATCTAATGTTTTCTGGAGTATCACTTTTTAAAGAAAAACGCAATATTTCAAGTAATTCATTTAAAGTAAACCCTAAATATATAATTTTCCATGTGACTTAGTAATATATTGACGACTTGATTCTCAGTACTGAGAAGTTATTTTGTCTGTCTCTTTAGAGGTGGAGAACTTTACTCTTAGGGAAGATGGTGCTTTCCTTCTTAAACTTTTCCTATTTCTTGTTTATCTCCTATACATTTAAATATATTACAAGAGGAAAAATTTCTCCTTTCTTGATGCCTCAATTCATAGTTTCAACTGCAACTCACTTTCAGTCTTCTGGATAGGAAATGATATTTAAGAAATTGGGTTTCTATGAATGCATTTATGACAGAATATGTATTTTCAAGGTGAGCTAAAACATAAATTTCAAGACCTGTCTCTCTCCTGGAGATAGTAAATAAGAGTTTCAAGGATGAAAACATAAAAGACATGTCTACCTGAGGGTTCTTTCTTGCCCTTTGTTGAAGAACTTTGTTTGCTTAGACAGAGCAGCCCTGTGTTGTTTGCATATGAAGAATTAGAGAAGAGATTTAGCAATATCTCACTGGAAAACCATGACCGTTTCAAATAGAAGATGTACTAAACACAAATGACCTAGTTTTGGGGGGCTGTGTGTATACTTCACAATTTACAAACATGAATTAATTTCTGTCATTATAGTAATTCGTTTTTAGCTGACACTATATGTATTTGGTAAAAGGTGCAAATTTCCAAATTTTGTCTTATGGAATAAAAAGACTTTTGGAAATGTGAAAGAGGGCAGAGGGTGTTCACATATTATGGTGTTCCCTGTTTCCCACTGTTGGTGGCTTATTAATGGCTTATTCTCATTTTGTCTGCTTTCAGAGGAGAGGAGGCTTCTCTTTCAGGCACACAGTCTTTTTGCTCCTTTGTTTTCTGTTAAAAAAAAAAAAAAACCCTACAAACACTGGGAAATAGGTAAACAAAGGGCTGAGCTCCCCCTGCCCCCAGGTATGGTTGTGAGACATAGGAAGCTGTTTCCACCTGAGACATGTTCCATTCCTATGGATTGTGATGAGGATATCATAAATAGCTATTTCCCCCCAAATTCTATGAATTTAGTTTACCTTAAAGACTAACATTTGAGTTTTAAGCACTCAATAAACACTTGATTGATTGAATTAAATTCTACCTTTCAAGATTTTACAATTTTTCCCTAGGGAGTTTGTTCTTGCATAGCTAAAAGTAACATTTGCTAGGTTGACATATTGATTGGCAAAACCAGGTGCTAGTCATGCCATAAAGGTAAGCTTTTTTTCCTGTTTTTCAAACTTAGGTCACTTTGAGGTTGCCTAATGTGTGCGACAGAGCCACCCTCAATCCTCCGTAAGAAAACTTCCTGTTAATTTCTCTGGCTCCTCTCTTCTTACACTTATATTCTCCCAGGAGATCAGCTGCATAGGGGTTGAACTGGGTCCCTAGGTATCTGCTTACAGGTTTTAGGTTTCTAGGCAATAGAGAAGCCGCAAGACAGAGCTGGGCTGACTGGTAGTAGCTAGGAGGCAGCCTGTATGATGACTGGCAAAGTGTATAGGCATGTCTGTCCCTAACGTATCCTATGAAAGTGAGAACATCCAGTGATGATAACTCATAAGACTGTTAAGAGCAATGAGCACACTAGATGGGTTAGGGAAGCCAAGTGCAGAAAGCTAGGGCATTAGTTACAGGCCAAGAGTTAGCAGCAACCCTGTGAGCAATCACTTGCAATATTGTACCCTTGGGAATTTTTAAAAGCTTTATGCTTCTTTTGGGACTCCAGGACAAGCTCTTGGAAGTAAGCAGAGAAGTTTTTATTTTTCTCATTGATGGATAAGGTTAAATGGCTTCTGTAATTCAATAGCAAATTCAGAAAAATCTTTAATTTAGACTATTTGGGGAAGATAACAGGTTTAGTATGGTCTTAAAATGGGTGAGAAGCCCTCTTCTTCATAAGAGCCAGAGTGTGGGCTGGTGGAATGATACATGGGTATGAGACCCCTCACAAGAGAGATGGGAGAGAGCCTACTCAAGAAATTATAATACTTCATAATATGACTGAGCACTGCTCCCACGATTGATTACTTAATGACTAAAGTGCTAAAGTGCCATTTCCTGGCCTATTCCATGCAGATAGTAACTTTTTTAGGATTTCCACACTTAATGGGGTATAGGAAACCAAAGATTTGAGTCTTTTCTGCTGAGAAATGCTTAGTTAATTGCTTCTACATCTTAGTAGGAGTCAGCTTCCCTAATTAAACATACTGTATATATCCAATTATGGACAATTATCATTTTGGAATGGCTGAGCCCATTTCTTTAAGAACACATCTTTCTAAGGAAATCCATCAAGAGCACTATGTGGTATATAGAAGAGAGGATGGGCTTCTGAGTGAGACACGTTTTGGTTTGAATCCCATCTCTAAATAACCACAATACAGAGTACCTGTCCCTTCACTGAGCCTCAGTTTACTTGGTTAATAATGGGAATAATATCTATCATTTGCTGGAGTTTTGGAAAGACTAGATGAAATGAAATTATTTTTATTAAAATCAGTTGACATTAAGAAAGAAAACTCATCAAGATAAACCCATTAGGTCACATTCTGCAGATAAGACTGTCTCTGATAACAGATGTCATGGTTTTAAAAGATGGACCATACTATCTTTCTGGATATATTCACACTGCAAAAAATTATTAACACTGTGGATTCATTAGAAGCCAAATTAAGCTGCTTTCCCATGCCATGCCACTGTCACGCAGGATGCATGCTCTGGGCAGATTTCACGCATTTTTGTCTTTGGGTTGGCAAAGCTGTCAAATGCCAGTTTGAAAGATGAGGCTATCTACAGATGCTTGCATAACACAGTTAAACAGGGAAACAAAAATGAAAATATCCCTTGGTCATTCATTGTGTACTAAATAGCTTCCGTTTGTGCTTTCAAATGCACTCTCCACCCTGCCCCCATTGCCCTCGGCCCAGAGAAACCCATCTGTACATCTCCATCAGGGCTTCCTTGTCCTCTGGGTTATAGTTATTGGGAATAATCAGCAGAGGCTGGGAGTGAGAGTGAGTCAGCTCAGGGTATATAAAACTTTTTCAAGTCATGAAGACATAAAATATGATAGTATTTATGTGGCTTAGTAGAGTAAATGCATAGCTACTCATAGCTCAATTGACTGGCACAAGCCCAGCCTGGTGCCAGGATGCTAAGGGGATTACTATATAGGCATACCCATAACCTATTTGTGACACACTTCGACATTGCCTTAGTATACCTCAAACTGTCTGATGTTCACAAGACATGCTCACTTCCCATAGGATGTTAATACATTTTTAATTAGTAGTAAAAACTCATGATGTGTTCTATAATTCTTATTTGGCTATGACTTAATTATTCCCATCCCTTTACTACTGCTTATGGTAATTACTTCTGATAACTGTATAGAAATAATATGCCATGCTTAGTGCAAAACTCAACTGTAAAAGTAAATATGGCAGCACATGTAAACAGCTGGTTAAGTCAGACAACAGCAGCATGTTCACTATTTACAGGTACTATGTCCTTAAGAATAAATAACAAGCAAATAATGCAGTGTTTACCGGATCCCTTCTCACGAGCTCTCCATTGGGTACTACTTCAACCAAGTGGATGATGATAATCATAGAATTCAGAATGTAAGTCAGAAACATGTTCTTGTGCAGAGTCACCCTTTGGCAGCCAAGGCTCCTGGAAGAAAAGGTAACAGAAAGCATTAACCAGTGCCAAAATGTTGAAGTACCTGGAAAAAAAACATTTTGCTAATATTTGTAATATTTCTTTTAGCAATAGATGAGAGACCTATAGAAATAAGTGAGGCTTGTCCTGTCTTTAAGACTCATTACCACTTTTCTGCCTGATTTTTAAAAAAAGTTTTCCAGTCACAGTAGCTCATAGTTTTCAGTCCTCAGGGTGACTTCATACAATAACCGAAAGAGTGAGTGATAAAATCACTTTTAATTATAACACATATTGTGAAATTAATTAAGAGAAGGACTCTTAGAAGAGAAACCATTAGGGCTTGGAGTGTGCTTTAGACGAAAAGTCGAATATTCATTGATGTAACCAGGCAGAAACTGTGTGGCAAACGGGATAACAGAGCATGAAGTCAGAACCAAGGTTGTCCTCAACGAAGTACTGAATTCGTGTCCTTGACCCATCAGACACAGACTTTATTATGTCTCTGTCATTGTTCCCTTTTGCCATTTCTTCAAATATCTTCTTATTTCTCATATTCCAACTAGAATTAACGCTGTGGTTCTCCCTTTCCACATCCTCCTGATGGTGGAGCTCAGACACAGTCAGAGAATTCTAAATAGGCTCAAATTTGATCTCATTATGAGGCATATTGTGGTTTGGATCTGATGAAACCCATCCAAATGCTGCCACTTGTTGGCATAGCCATTTCCCACCTTTTGGATACAAAACAATTTGTTGGATTTTTCAGTCCTTTCTCCTCCACTTCATAAGCATGTACATATGTATTTGTGTGAATGGTCATATAAATAAACATTAGTTTGAATATCCTATTTCACTTTTTGATGCAAATGGAGAAAGCCCTGCAGGATGGCTATAACAAAATTGGAATGATTATTCTTGATGAACAAAAATCTCTCATTTACCATAACTGATCCAGTCAAAAAGTGTTTAGCATAATGTGAAAATTTAAAACATTTGGTTAATGATGCCAATGGTTGATCACAGTAACCATTCCTTAAGAAAATCATGGAATGAAGTTAGAATTCCAGGAATTTTGAAATGGGAATTCTGGGGAAAGATGAAATATGAGAATGGTCTGGGTTTACTTACAATGCTTTCCTAAATTTCAAATAATAAATTGCAGTAAAAAGTATATTTAAGTAGTGAGGGTAACTATTAGAGCATATTTTGATTATTGTAGCTACATCTTTCAACTTTCAGGAAGCATAGCCATTAGTAAATAGTTACTACAGAATATTTAAATATTTGCAACTTGTTGAGCAGGGATACAATGAAGAACTTTTTATCCAGGAAAGGTTTAGAGAAGAATTCACACACACACACACACACACACACACACACGGCATGAACACACCCACGTACTTACTACTTTATTTAGCAGCAGAAAACTCCATTAAATAAACCAAACCTAATTGGTTTTATTATAGTACTATAAAAGTAGGTTGCAAACTTAAGGCTTTAAAAAATTATTTATGTGAAATATCATACCCACTTACACTGCATAAACTCTGTAATATTGCAACTGCTACATTAAACCTGTGACCTGTCATTTTCCATATAGTCATAATAGCATTTTATAATTCTTCTCATTGGGGGTGGGGGGGCGAATATCGGTGGTCTCTTTATTAAATTCAGCCCAGCTTAAACCAACAACAGTTGGCATTATCCAGAACTAAAGAGTATGGATGATTGCATCATACAGGGCTGCTATTCTCATGCCTGGTTTTCTCTTGACCAGGAAGAGTACAATAATCTGCTGATATATGCCATCAGTTTAAAGGACTGGTTAATGCTTAGTCTTCTGTGTAAATCAAAAATATACTTCCTCCACTTTTAGCTTATTACTTCCTGGCTCTTTTATCCCTGCTTTATTATTTTTTGTTCTTAACACCACCTCCTGACATATCATCTATCTGTTTATTGCCTCTTATTTTCTCTGTTTCTCTCGCCAGATTGGGGATGCTAGAGGAATTCATTTTGTCCACCTAGAACAGTGTCTGATACCTTGTGGGGCTGGATACTCATGTTTTTAAATTAAAAATCTTTACATAAGAGCAGTTTTCCTCTTCAAGCTGTGACCAGTAAACAGCTTTCCAGTACATCAGAGAATTACATTGAATGCTATATTGTCTCATATCTTATACTTTGTATCATACTGAACATTTGCCAAGTTCTTGCTATAGGTATTAACTAACTAATATTGGACATTATGCTGTTGTTCAACAGTGGGGAAAACCTATATCCAGTGCAGTATTATGTACATAATGAGCAATGATCTGGTTTAAAGCCAGATAAACTGTTAGGTTCCAAAGGAAGAATATAACTAGTATATAATATGAGTTTCTGTGTCTAGAAATTTCAATATAATTTCTGCTTATTGAGTTTAAAAAATTTTATTACACTTACTTGATGACATTTACACTCAGCTTTTTGAAGCAAGTTAGAGGTACTTTAAGTTTATTAAAATTCATTCAGTAATCCAACACATATTACTGTGTACCCATTTAATAATCCAATACACATTACCATATGATTCAGACCTTCTGGTAGATGCTAGAGATATGGGTGAACAGAATAGACCACTTCTGTCTTCAGGGACCTTATATGCTACATAATTGTTTATTTACTCTTATGATAAATGTTCTGAAGGAGAGGTATAGCATGCTAAAGAGGTTAATTGAACTTAATATAAGTAACTAGGTGTTTAGTTCTCAATGCAAGCATCTTGTTGCTTCAGTGAACATGCTCTGTCAGCTCTGAAATGTCTTAAGTAGAAAATAGCACAAACCTGATCTTAGCTGTACTTCATTCCTCTTTATTAAAAGAAATAGGTATTTAGATAGATAGAACATTGCTTACTCTCTGAATGGAAGGAAACCAAGTACTATAGAATCTCTAATAGCAGAGATAAGGCAACATAATCTACTTCTGTCTTGGCCCAACCAAACTCACTCAAAGGTGAGGAAGAGATAATGATTTACTTAGGTATGAATCTCAAGATGTCATATTTTAAGGATAACACTAAATGTTATTTTCATGGTTTTAGTTTGCTTGGTGTAAATCTTCCACACTAAAATTTGTTTCAAGTAATTGGGACCCTATGTATGTATGTGTGTGATTTTGGGGAGCCTGTGGCTGTATGAGAAGGCATTTATATTTGCCCTGAGTTTTGCAGATTGCATAAACCATTTTGATATCATAGAATAAGGAACAGCAGTGCTTAGTCCTTTATAAGACTGTCATTACAGTCACATTCAAAGTAAGTAAGGAAAGAAGCAAGTCATGAAACAAGTAAAAGTCATTTGAATTTATTGGTGCATGCAAAAATATGCATTGGAATAACCATTGTGATCGGTACAAGTAGTCATGTTTCAATGTATCTCTACATTTTCCTTTACCTAGCTATCATATCTTGTTTACAATGAAAGACAAGTGAGGAGAGGGGAGGGAATGTGGAACGGATCACATTAAGACTCCAAGAAAAGTTTGAAACCCAATCCATTATATACATCTTTCCTCTCCAACAAGAGACTTTAAACCTTTGGATTTAGCACACAATCTCTATACTTAAGGAATTCCTTTTCAATCAAAATTCTTGCTTCTTTTCCTATTACTACTGTTCTATGAATGAACAGTTTGCCAAGACATGAGCAACAGTTATCTTTTGTGTCCTGTCATGTCAAGGGTGGGTTGGAAGAAAGGAGGCTATCTTTGGTGCCATTGATTTAGTGGTTTCTCTGGAACAATAGGAAGACAACCAGAGATGTATAATGTTGGCCACTATACAAGTACAAGATAAAGTGATATCTCTCCATCCACCATGTAGATGTGACAGAGAGTAATAGTGAATACTGAGTAAGTAGAGAGGAATCAGTATTGCTTCTGCAAGTCCCAGTGGAAACCCTCCTTTTGTGCTGATATGGCCAATGTAATGTAACATAGACAATGTAATGCAATAAAGACACCTCTTGTCTTCCAACACATATCTTTATTAACTTTCAGGCAAGAGTAATTAATATTCAAAATTTGATGATCAGTAAGGCATGAGTATCAAGCAGTCAAAATGGATGCTAATGAATGTTCAATTATTGTGCTTTCCTGAGAGAAAACTGAGATGTTTAGTAATTTAGGACTATTCCATAGAAATGTCAATTGATAAATTCTAAGTGGAACTGATTGGATAAGTGACTTTTATTGCAAATTTGCTTAAAATGGTAAGGAAACAAAGACAAATAAATGGCCACTTATGTGACTTTCTTAAGATAGTCTTCCCTAAGGGTATCTTCATCTTAACTCTCTTGTTGACATTTATTATTGGCATCTAGTAGTGAGGAGTCTTGCTGAATACATTTGATGTTTCTATTTAATCTCTCTCCATATTGTTGCTCCTATTTTTCCTGCAAAGAAAATGAATATATATATATATATATATATATATATATATATATATATATATGAGTAATTTCCCAGATTTTTAGCAGCAAAGTATTGGCAGTTCCATAGCCTTCCGTATATTTAGTAACTTTAAATTCCTCTGCAGGCTTTCTTAGCCTGCTGGTTTGAGGGGGACACCTGGAGGGTTATTCCTTTTTATAGACACTATAAGGCACATTTTATGAGTTAAGAGAGAGATTTCAAAGAGATGATTATGAATGGGGCATTAGGTTTCAAAAGTGGAGCTGGGTGTAACTCCTCATTTTGATTTCTTGAAAGTTTTATGAAATTGATTGGATTTTGCAAAAATAACTCAAGCCTGGGAATGTAGAATTAAGCAAGGGAGTGATGATTATATTTTTGCTCAGGTTTCACACAGACGATGCCATTTAAGTGCATAAATCATAAAAGCTTCCATTGTAATAAGCAGTAAAGACCTTAAGGGTGGTGTTGAACATCTGAAAACAATTCTGGGAAAATGTTGCTAATTAAAAGATAAAATCCAGTGATAGATTAGAATTACCTTTTATTTTTTGCTTTTAATATTTATGAAATGCAAATGTATAGAAAAAAATCCAAAGATTCAGAAACATACTTTAATTTTTTAATACTTTAATTTTAAGAAAATGTATGCCCTTGGTATTTTTAGTTTGGATAGGCTTAAGATAAAATTAAAAACAAGTATAAAAATCAGATGTGACTTCTTTCAGATTTGAATATTTGATATCTCAGCATGTATGTTTTTCATAACCTATTTGTCTCTTGTTGTGTGTGCTCTGGAGAACAAGCTATTTCAGTTTCTGCTTTCCCATTACTGTATTCAGATTATAAATCAATAAGACTTAGTTTTCCTCCCAAGATTTAAGTTGCTGTTTGGTAGGCTTTTGGAACTGAGAGACAGTAGGACAAAATTAGGTGCTTTCTAGACAATCTGCCCCCAAATTTGCTTGAAGGTTTGGCCAGATTAACTTTGTTCTGGGTCTAAGTGGAGTTGAGAAATATTTTACTTTGCTTATGCGCTGCACTTTTAAACACACATCTTCAGTGGCTTAAAATAGAAATGAATGTAGAAGTAATATTTTTATTTTCTTTGCTGATTTGGCTCTCACATCTCATCACTTATTTAAGTGACTAAAGAAATAAAAAACTAAGAAATGTCCCGTTGACATTTTTTATCTTTAAACTCCTGAATACATTTATTAGTTGCATCATTACAAATTTGGGGGCTGTTCTTTCAATTTTTTTCCTTTCAATTTTTTTCTATGGTTATATTAAAATTTTTAAAGGTTAGACTTTTAGTGACAGACTTTTTAATCAAAGTTGTATGGGAGCCATGATGATGTATTTATTCACCGTGGCCAAGTGCAATTGAAAAATGAATAGACATTCCAAGATTAATCATGCTATGTGTTTACTCTGCTATATTCTGATTATAATTGAAAATGCTCTTCTAGTCTAATTCTAGTAATTAATCCCCTATATCTTGTTGCTTTGTTTATATCTTTCTCCTGTTAAACCATATATGGAAGGAGGTAATTCTCTGTTTATTTAAATTATTATTTATTTATTATTAATCACTTAACAAAAAAATTCTACCCAGTTACATTGCTTGATCAGAATAAGAACCTTGACTATGTAAGATATAGACATAATATGATAATGGTATAAGATGAAGACAAAGATTAAAAAGGGAGGGCAGCCCGAGTAGCTCAGCAGTTTGGTGCCGCCTTCGGCCCTGGGCGTGATCCTGGGGACCCGGGATCCAGTCCCATGTCAGGCTCCCTGCATGGAGCCTGCTTCTCCCTCTGCCTGTGTCTCTGTCTCTCTCTCCCTCTCTGTGTCTCTCATGAATAAATAAATAAAATCTTAAAAAAAGATAAAAAGGATCAAGGGAAAAATAGTAGTTGTGTTCAGGGAGTGCTTATACCTCTTGGCTTAATTTTCTTTAGTATTATCATGATAATATCTTAACAAAAACCAAATTTGTTATACTATGTATGAATCACTGTATATTTAGTTACATTATCACATTTTTTTTTAAGATTTTATTTATTTACTCATGAGAGACAGAAAGAGAAAGAGAGAGACACAGAGGCAGAGACACAGGAAGAGGGAGAAGCAGACTCCGTGCAAGGAGCCCCATGTGTACTGGATCCTTGATCCCAGGATCAGGCTCTGAGCTGAAGGCAGATGCTCAACCGCTGAGCCACCCAGGCATCCGTCCTGCATTATCACATCTTTAAAATGTGGAGGATTATTTGTAGTCTGAACCTATGAAGGAACTTTTCTTAACCATTTGTATAATACCACCACAGCTACAGAAAGTATTACTTGAAGGAAAGAGTAGTGTAGAAATTTGTCAGAATTTTCAGGAAAGGGATATAGTGACTTATGATGCCTTTGATTTAAAGAAATCACAGCAAATTTAGGATGTTTCTAGGCCTGAATTTAATATATATTACTATCTCACATGCATGATGAAGTCATTCCTAAAAAAACAGACTCAAAGCTTCAAATTCTCCATTATTACAAAATCAGTATTATATCAACTTAATCATTTTGCCATAGATAATGCAATCAAGTGCATAGACATGGTCTCAGAATAGAAATCTCATTGGGATTTTACTCCTCACAGTGTCTTAGACTATAACTGCAGTTAAAATGCTGTTTTCGTGGGTAAAACATTGACACTTGACTCTTCTTCCAGAGATTCTCCTTGGTCCCAGCTGAGTGAGTCAGGGCCAGAAGGGAGCCTTACCTTCCTTCTATGGCTAAACACTATCCTGGTCTCACTAGCAACACTTCTTTTCTGGCCAAATAGCAACACTTCTCTTCTGGCCAAATCTGCCTGTGATACAACTCATAATTAGGCAAGGTACATTTGAGCTTCTGGCCATGGCCTCCATATTTAGGATAGAGGTAAAAGAAGAGCGTCTCCTCAATACTTCCTGCAACCTTAACCACTGTGAGTGGAGCTTAGCCTTCCACATTTTAATACAATGTCCTTATGGGGTTTATAGGACTGTTTCATACTGGGAAGGAGCCACACTGCCTTTGAAAATTATATGAATCCATCTTATTTTCCTCAGAGATGGGGTTAAAAAGCATGTTTTAATTAATTTCATTTTCCGTGCTATTTCATAACTCCCAGTGTTGTATTTCTCTTGTGGTTTGCAGAGGATCACACCCTTCCCCTAACTCTTGCAGTTTGCCATTTATTTCAGTACCTTAAAGAAGAAAATAAAAAGCAGATGCTATGAGGCTACTTACTTGAAAAACACGAAAATCCCCAGCGAAATCACCAAGGTGAAAATCGACAAAGAATGGCCCACAATAGCCAAGTAGTACAGAACATATGCATTCTGAAACAACAAGAACGGAACAGTTATAAAAATAAACAGGCAAATAAATGATAGTAGAGGAGGGAAAATAGTTTCTATTTTTAATATTAGTGTAAATCAACAACTGTTCTCATCCTTTAAAAAATCTACCAGAAGGGTAAGAAATGTTTCAGATAATTAAATTATATTGAATCATAATATTTGGGATTAAGAGGTTAAATATTATAAGATTATCAGTTATATTAGAATATGCATGATAGGGTGGGAAGAATCTAAGACTGGAGTCATCAGAGCTATTCTTTTTTTTTTTTTTTATCAGAGCTATTCTTTACTCAGAGTACTCATCCTTAAATCTTTGTGTGACTCTCATAAGTCAGTTCACCTCTCTAGGTCTCAGTAGTCCTCATCTCTAAAATAATTTGGTCAAAGTCAATGATTTTTCAAACAGTTATATGCTGCTTATAAGAAACATCATTAACTACTGGGATACAGAAATATTGACCATAAAAGGATGAGAAAAGCTGATCTGGGTAAACACTAACCACAAGAAAACTGGTGTCATACAGGTCCAGATGCTAATTCAGGAAGACAGAGCGATTTTTAATTTCTATTAACCTAATAATATAAACTCAAACCACATGAAGCATAAAGCAAAAACTGACATCACTTAGTAATCAACAGAGCAGATGATACAAATGCAGTGTAGATATGTTGGATAATTTCTGTGAAGTTTTTTAATTCCTGGGAGAAATGTGGCATTTATGTACAAATCATTAGGCTTCAACATTTGATTCTTATCAATTTCCTTGTGAAGAACCTGATATTGAAGCACTGATTCTGCTAAAAGGCCCTCAAAGCATGCAGAGCCTTTTGTTTGGTGATATGTATTATTGCTGGACAGAAACAAATATTGCCTTTCTAGGCATTGAAATTTCAAAATGAATTAATCAACCTCTCTTGAATTGTGGCTGTTGAACCAGTTGATGGGGTATTTACATATTATTTGACACTTTCAGTATACTACTCTCCTAATAGCACCCTGTTTATCCTTGCACAAATGATTACAAGGTTGGAATAGTTGGCTTATAGCTAGAGATGTTAAGGACTTCAAAATAGCTTATACTCTCTTTCTTAGAAAATATTTAGGAATCTTTGCAAGGAAACAAATACTCATCTCCTAACTTTTCTCCCACCAATTCACTTTCTGGCTACTTTTCTAACTTCTCCACTAGACAAAACCATGAGTGGCACATTCTATGAGTTCTTCCTTTTAAGGAATTCACCATATAGAATCCCCTTGCCATTTAAAATACTGTTTTTAATTTGGATATATACCCATGACTCTATCCTCTGTCATGACTTTATTTTTATCTCTGTATATTTATTTCTAAGAAAACTTTATATAACTTAATTCATTTTCTTTCAGTTGCCTCCAGAATACTTTAAAAATATTTACTCTTCTGAAACAAAGTTGTCTAAATGTGTAAGATTAAACCAACAGCTCATAATTTAGTTGCCATTCTTGGTGTCATTCTTAAGACTGAGAAACACTTTTTTAAAAATACTAAGTTGGTTTCTTTGAAAAACATATATTTTTTGCCTGTTGGTAGCTGGAAGATTTGTGCAAAGAATTTCGACCATTATGTTAGGTGTGTGGAGGGGAACATTAACTCTTAAAATATTTTATTACTATCTCAGATGTGGCCAGAGTGAGAAGATGACAAATATGGCAGCACTAAGAATTATTTATTTGGGTCTGCACTCTTTGTAACAATTCAGTTAACAAGTTTACTATTTTTTTCTGTAAAATCATAATCAGCCCTCATTCAGGAATTCCTTATTTGGTGACATGGAGTTTCAATCAGATCTTATTAAGTAAATAGCTCTCCATTAGGATGTAGACATGCATCTGATTCTCAGAGGTGACTAAGTAATTTGTAAAGGGGAACAGGCTTTGGTGCCCCCAGCCTGTGCCTGTGACAAGATACTCCCCTAGTCTCTAGCCAGCTGGTCTCTAAGCTACCTATTCATCTTGTTTGCTTTTTGTTCTTGCTTGTTTTGTTTTTAATAAAGGAAAATTTTCTATACTCCTAAATCCGCTCTATAATTAACAGAAGTAGTGATGTGCTTTTAGCTTCCAACTTAGTAATTATTTAGCATACAGGCCTGTCTTTGAAGGAAACAACAGATTTCTGTTGCAACGCCAGGGCTGCTCAGGGATAGCCTGTGTGGTTAAGTACTGATCCACCGTTTCTCCCAGCAACATGGGGAGAAGAGGCTGATTGTCGGCTTAGGGATTCTTTTTTTCAGATTTCTCATGCATTTGGAGAGTAGGTAGGTATCTGGATTTTTTTCCGTTGGCTTAAATGCTTCCAAGCAGAGATGATATTACAAATATTTAATAGGCACTAAGACATAAATTCCAACAAATCAGAACAGACTAAACTGCCACACCTGTATCAACTGGCTGATAAGAAGCCTTATTCTAAGGGTTCCTTCAAGTCCTGATAGTAAAACTATAATGGGCCTCTTGGGGCAGGAAAGGGGGGGAGCAACTGTCAACTTTGTGACTTGGGAAAAAAATCTATAATTCTGGAACTCTTTCGGTAGAAGAGAGATCTTAGAAAGTCCCTGGAAATGCTGCCTGATGTGTAGCATCTGGGGGAATCCCATCATCTCTTCTATGGACACTATTTCCCTCACTATAAATGACCTGATTCTATATGCTCGAGGAACTCTTTGACACTAAGTGCCAACCAAGAAGTAAAATATCATTTTCTCTAATGCTACTTCATAGAGTCCCTAGAACTCACAGGCCATGATCTGATTTCCTTCTATAGAATAGGTTAGCTTTTCAGTAGCAGGTGTTTTATAGTCATGCATGCATTTCTGTGTAAAAATAATGGCATTCTCTCCCAATACTGAGATTTGAAATAGAACCTACCTTCAGTTTCTCAGGAGTGAAAGCATTACACATAGTATAGTTGGACCAGGTTCGATTGTTCTCAGGATGTTTATACCAATCCCCTTTTTCATCACAGTATTTTGTAACCTTTTCTGTTAATGAAACATAACAGTTATTACATTACTATCTCAAAATACCAAGAAGGAAAAATAAAGCTTAAGAGCCATTGCACAATTGTTCATCACTTTATAGAACTTGAATATGAATATAGGTCAATAGACACTACCATGAATCATGCATTTTACAAGATGTTTTAGTATGTGTTGTCTTGTTTAGTATGTGTTGTCAGCAGAGCCACATAAAGCAAATGTTCCCATCTCTATTTTACAAACAGGAAGCAGAGAGTTTGAAGTCACTAGATAGTGGGTCAGCTAGGATTTACTCTCAAGTCCATCGCACTAAAAAGTGCTTCCTATACCATACCTAGTATTTTTAAACAAACCTTACATTTTTTATTTTAGATAGGAACTATGTGAGAATGGCAAGACCATACTTTCCTTCATTTATATGCAATATGTATTTATTAGGTTGACTGTATGGAACCGTAGATTCGTTTGTATGTACTCCAAATTGTACTCCAACAATTATTTCAAGCAGCTGAAAAAACACATTTTTCAAGCAAAAGATGTTTTCAAGCAACCTGTTAGAACCATCATTGCTTAATGTATATGTGTTAGAAAGTTAAATAGAAAATTTTTTAATTGTGAATTTGCTGAGACAATCATTGGACTAAAACTATTTAAAGAATCACCATTGGATACCAACAATATTTCAAAAAAGGGTTAGGACTAAACAGAATAGAAAAACTGGTATTGACAATTGGTCAATGATTTTGCTGATGTTATTAGTCAATGATGACCATTCCAAGCTTAGTTGCAATTTCTAAAAAGTGGTTTGTATTGAAGCATTTTATATTTATTATATTGTCAGAAAGTAGCTTATTATTTCATCAAAAGGAAGTTTTAACAGAGTTATTTAGCTATATAAGGCAAAATACATTCTATGGAGGAGGGAGGGGTATACTTCCTGAAAAAGTCCATTCTAATCACAGACAAGACTGTAGAAGAGACTATTTTCTTCTGATGTTACTAAAGTCTGGATCTAGGGGTTTCCTGGAAATGCATTTCCTGCATTTCCTTATCGATTGCAGCTAGAAGATTTGAGTCCTCTTCCACTTGGCAAATCTTTCAACATCTGAAGAAAGGATATGACTACTACCCTAACTTCCCTTTCCAAACCAAACATTCCCGTTTACTCACACTACACAGCTTGGTGTTCCTTCACAACCTGGAGTCACTCTGCATGTGCTCGATACTGGTATTTCCCTCTGAAATAGTTTTAAGTTTGGACTGCCCCCATGAAGAACACAGCATTCTTATTTCACTCCACATCCACATGGGGGAGCTTTTTACAGATTCTCAGGCCCAATTCGCAGAGATTCAAATTTCCTTATCTGAAGAGGTATCCAGGCATCAGCATTTTTAAAAGGCTCACCCATTCCAAAGGGTAGCAGGGTTGAGAATCATTGTCCTAAACCATTTGTTAACCATCTTGGATCTGTGCCATTAACACTGATTAAGTGTTTGATGCCTTAAGTACCTACTTGTTAAATGTGCTTTTTACATTCTAGCTTATTCCTTCAGGCTACCAGCCTCTTTTGAATTTCAATGCTGTTATTCACTCTATTATTACCTTTTACCAAGCACTTTGTCTAAAATGAAATCTCTGTCATTTCATTAAACTGTTTTGTTTATCATTAAAATATACTGTTGGGTCAATGAAGTCCTAAAGAATTTCAATTTGTTGAATATAGGTATTTTTAAGATGTGTTTTTCTTTTGAAGCGGATTTGTCCCCCACTTGAGAGAGTTCTTTCTAAAAACCAGGCTGATAAAATGGATTTATGCCAGGAAATCCCTATTTTGCTGACCAAAAACTTGTCTTTTAGTCAATAATTATAGCCACTTTGGCAAGAGCCCATTGCTGCTCTGGAATGGCCTTGTAGCCTCAATTGCAGAAAAGCTCTTTATGCCAATCAAGTTATCTCTAATGTAGTTGTCAAATCAAGATGAACAAAGCATCATTTATTGGGAAGAGTCATCATGAAAGATGATCATCAAAGAGCACTGAGTTAGAGTTTACAGGAATGTAGTGCTGAGCAGGGCAGAGCACTCAGCCCTTCCTCTTTACACGATGAGAATTTTCAGAAGTGGCTGGCCTGAACTGGTTTTAAAGTAGCCCCCTGTAATCTCATTTTCATTATCTCAGCTTTAATGGGGTAGAATTTTGGATCTCATTCTTGTTAGAAGCACCAAAAGCATCTCTTAAACATTGACACAGGGAAAGAGTAATTGCTCTGCTCTAATCTAGATCCTGGAAACTTTCTTGCCTAGATTTTACTATTTGACAATTGTTTTCTTTTCTTTTCTTTTCTTTTCTTTTCTTTTCTTTTCTTTTCTTTTCTTTTCTTTCTTTTCTTTTCTTTTCTTTTCTTTTCTTTTCTTTTCTTTTCTTTCTTTTCTTTCTTTCTTTCTTTCTTCTTTCTTTCTTTCTTTCTTTCTTTCTTTCTTTCTTTCTTTCTTTCTTAAGATTTTATTTATTTATTCATGACAGACGGGGGTGTTGGGGGGCGGGGAGAGGCAGAAGAAGAAGCAGACTCCATGCAGGGAGCCTGACAGGAACCGCTGGGCCACCAGGGCTGCCCAATTGTTTTCTTTCTTAAGTGATGTTTTCACTTTTGGTCTATGCACAGTATAAGCTCCTATCATTCATGTCAGTGAGCAAAAGTAAACAGAAGGGCTGGTTGACCTGGAAAGGTGGTAGAAACTGACCAAACAAATCTTAGGAAAATCTGAAAGGTGGTAGAAATTGACCAAACAAATCTTGGGAAAATCTGAAAGTCACGGTTTCCATTGTGCATTCTATATTAGCCCAGTATACCCAAAGTCTAGATCAAGTATTTGCATAAGTCACCAAATAGAAGACAATTGAAAACTGAAAAACACATTTACTAAACCACATTTAAGTAAAACTTAAAAGTAAAAACACATTTACTAAACCACATTTAAGTAAAACTTCACAGAGTTAAACAAAATTTAAATTTTATTAAAATTTAATATTAATATTTAAAATGTGTAAAATTTTAACTTTTATTTGGAATTTAAGACCAACGTGCACAACTGACCAGTAATGTAACCTAAAAAATACGGAGAACTTGAAATATTTCTATACCTGGGTAATATTTCAAGTAAGGAAATGCTTCAGAAAGTGCTGAAACATGCAGAATATGATTAGATAGGTATCTTTTATATCTGATTTTCTCTTCAGAACCCTGAAAATTCTAAAAGCTTCAAAAAGCTTCATAGCAAAATATGAAATAAAAATAAACATTTTACCTGATGGATCAAAGTCTGGAAAATAATCTGGGCAGTACTGATGGGATAATACTCCAGCCGGTGTATCATCCCAGCACAGCCATCCATCCCAGGTGCGGTTGCAATATGGACCTGATTATTCAGAAAGAAATTAATATTAAAGTTTGAAAAAGTTGCAGAATTATCAGCAGGATTTAACAGTGTTCAATAGGATCTAACTATTTAATAGTTATTCTGGAGCTCTCTACGTGCACTTGCAAATATTAAAAAGAACAAGAGCAACAAAATAAAGATAATTAATTAACTTTACTAACTCTTAATCAAATTTACATTTTTATAGGGTTTTTTCCATTTGCTTTTCAAAAGACATACATGTCATCTGTATGGAATCTTTCCACCAAATCTTTCCTTTAATGTATCACCAGAAATGCTGCAAAGAAATCTTGTGAAAGTATATGCAATATCACCCCTGGATAAGAGGCTTACCTTGAAAAAACGATATGGCTATGGAACAGATAGATGCAACTAACCATTAACCTTAAGAGGGGTTGCCTTGGATAGTTCTATTCTTTTTTTTTTTTTTAAGATTTATTTATTTATTTGAGAGAGAGAGACAAGAGTCCACATGCATGCACAAGAGCAGGGAAGAGGCAGAGGGTAAGGGAGAAAAAAAATCTCAAGCAGATTCCCTGCTGAGCGAGGAGCCTGATGACATGGGTCTCAATCCCAGGACCCTGAGCCGAAATCAGGAGTCAGATCCTTAACTGACTGAGCCACCATCCCTTGGATAGTTCTATTCTTAATCCAAGGGTTTAAAGTTTAATTGTTCAAAATTCCTATTGGAGATGCATTTGTAGATAGTTAATAGATCACTTACATAACTAGTCTTATTATTTTAGAATCACACTTTGTCAGTGGCTAAAATAATGCTCAGTTTGAGCAGTTTTTGTATTTATCAACATTGGCTCCGAGTGGTTTCTCACTGCTTTCAAAATTTAATCTACCTTAAAACATGAAGATCTGCCTCTATAAAGCTATTCAAAAGAATAAGACTCAGTCTTTGAAGTCAGTCAAAAGAAAGAAAGAAGAGAGAAAAAAGAAAAAAGAAAAGAAAAAAATCTTAAAATAATGATCATAGTACAAAAATTCAAGCTTCCAAAATGATTAATACTGAAGTGAAGGAGGCTGCTCTCACCTGGCCTCTGAAAATAAATTTTGTGTTTCTGTTGTTTCATTTACTTCAGAGGAATGGTTTGTCTTTGGGCAGAGTTGCATCTAATGACTTTTCAGGTTCTTAAAAAACACTGAAACTACCACAGACAGAAGAATAACATGTATCTGTCTTTTAATGGTCTTGAGTTTTGTTTAAAGGAAAATGGTAAAAAACAAAACAAAACAAAAAGAAAATAAAGGAAAATGGTAAAAATAGGAATTAGAAATTAAAACTTTAACTATTTGAAGGCAAACAATTTGTAGAAATAGAATATACTTAGAAGATTTTCCACCCTACCAAGCAGTGTTATCTTAGAATATACAACGGTGTAGAAATCTCGTTGGGACTTTTCAAATGCTTTAGGGGACAGGGCAGAGAACTGAAATGGAAGTAGTAATGTCTGGCCATCACATAGCCTTCTATAGCTAATAGAATGTGCCTGGCCCTGAAAACATTTGAACAGTCAGAGTATTCTAGAGAAGGTGATAGGTAAACAATGCCTCTGCCTAGGAGAGAGCTTTTTCTAATTCCTCTGGGAAATGTGGGTAGAAAAGAGGAAGGAATAGCAGGAGTTGCCAACCAATTGACAGTTAAGGGAAGATACTGCCTAATTAACCCAACCAAGACATGGTTTTGACAGGATTCACCTGGGGCTAATTCTCTGCCCACCATTTTCCACTTCCCTTCCTGTCATTTTCCAATTCCTCCATCACTTAATCCTGTATTGTTCCTACTTGCCAGGCATGAATACTGAGTTATTGTAATAATTTTGTCAAGAAGTTCAGTTGTTAGCCCAAAACCAGTTGGGTGAACTTGGGTAAAGAAAGTAGACATGTCTCTAGCATGAAATACACAAACATACCATAGCTTGAAAACCACTGTTAAAACTGCTGGCATATTAAAATTAGCCAACACATATTTATCCACAGAAGAAAATAAGGCTTTAATGATGTTTGAAATCATGTTTGCATACATCCTTCTTTTTACCTTCTCCTTGGTATGGGGGTAACTGCTGCATGCGGTCATAGCATTTGTACTGAGCATCTGACATTTTCTTTCGTCCTAGGACGTACAGAAATGGCTCGGACTCCATATTGGGAGGATAGGTGTCATTTGAAGTAGCAGGAAGAACTGGGGTTGGGTGCTGTATTAAAAAGAAAAATCAGTTACTTATAGAGAGCAGGAATGGGTGTAATAGAAAAAAAAATGAAACAATCAAAAAGTTTGAAAACATTTCCCTTCATGAGCAACAATTATTGATGGTCTCCATGTAGGATATTTTTCTTCATAACTAAAAAGTATATTTATACTTCATCTACAACTTCTACCTGCAAATTTCATATTTGCATTCGTTCTATTCACTACTGAAAATGTATAGAACCCACCCAAACTCATGCACCTCTTTATCATATAAGACTTTTAATTTTATTATCACTGTAAAGTTTAGAAGTAAACAAAACAAATAACCTGATTTCCAAAAAACACTAATATTAAATCAATTTTGCCTTCTTTGGAACTTCTAATAACCATGAGTCATGCTATTAAAAATAGATATATTCGTGCAATAAATAAGCTTTTATATTGAATTATTTCAGCTTTTTAAAAATTTGTGCTTAGATTATGTACACTGCCAAAAATTCACTTGCTATTCCATAAAACAAAAAAATCTGTTCTTCTGAGATAGTCTGTGTTGGATAATTGGCCTTAATATCTTTAAATTGGTTTCATCAGTATATGACCTACACAGGGTAATTTATTTCACTGCTGAAAATCAATGTAAATCTTAAATATTTCTCTTAGCATTTCTGCATTTTTGATACAGGCTGCATTGGTCATGATCACCGTCTAACACATCATCCTAAATTGTATTTGTGTAGATTTCAATTTCTTTCATGGCCATGATGTTTTTGGTGGTGCTTGAATCTGTTATTTTCTATATCCATGTTCTGCATAGAGAATTTTTTGAAGAAGACTGAAAGCTTCAGTCTGCACTGACTATTCTTCTTCTGAAGTTAAGAATACTCCTTGCTCTAACACACCTGTTAAACACATTTTTATTTGGCCTTATTCTGTCTAAATTATTCTCAGATTGAAGTTTCTCCAAATGTATTGGTGGCAAAAATAGTGTAATGTACTTTCCTCTATTTCTTACAGTCTCTAAAACAAACTCACTTTTATTAAGTTGACTTGTATACATCAGGCTACTCATAGCAGAACTGCAGTGTTTTTCAGTGTATGTTGTGTAGACATGGCATCCTGTCCTATAAGATAGCATGGGGCTAAATGCTAAACTGTACAATGAATAATACAACAAAAACTCAGAACAGACAGAGGGCATGGAATAAGAATGGTCAGGGACTTTGAATTTGAATTTGAATTGGACTTTGAGTGGCTGCACAGGCAGAGGAGAGGGAAGGCTTTTTGGCTAGGGGGAAAGGAATGCATCTAAGTCCCAGAGGTGGGAAATGGCATGTGTAAGACACTGTATGGAAACCATCCTTGGAGGAGAGCATCTTTGGGGGTTAGTAAGAAATGGAGTCAAGGAAAATCAGATAATACAGAGCTCTGAAAAGATGAACACTAAGTGCATGGTGCAATGAAAGGCTCAGTACATTTTATCTAATATTATTAAAACATGACAATAAAATAAAGATGTCATGCAGGTTTTTGATCAGAGAAGATTGGGAAAGGAGAGTGCTAGTAAAATTCATGTGGTGGGCATGAGATGTCCATAGATCAGAGCTGCGGAGGAAGCCAGGAAGCAGAAGGCATGGACTAGACCACTGCATGAGAGAACAGGGGAGCACAACCCTCAGCACTTGTTCAAATAATAAAAACATACATTTGAATATAAGGAATGGAGAACAGTAATAGTCAAATAGCTCTGATATTTTAACCTATATAATAGGAAAAAATGGGAGTGCTCCAAGAAAGGAGAACTTGGGAAAGGAAAACCTTACTATGGGAAGAAGGTAAGTTCTCTTTTGTACTTTATCTAAAGGTGCCAGCAAGCCATCTAAGTAGAAATTACTTGCAACAGAAGAGGGTGAGTACTTATTACTGTTATAGCCCTAGATGGACACTTACTCTGAATACAGCTGATGCTACTTTTTAAATATTAGGATTATTTCCAATCCTAATGCCTCTTGAATGTATGACAGAGAAAAGAGAAATTAATGTACAGACAGAAATTATTTAAAATGTACAAATCCTATACCAATGTATTTGAATATCATTCTGTTGTCATATGACTCTATCTTACTGGCTTTAAGACCAATAAATCAGCAAATATTCATTAAACCTGATAAGCCAAGCATTATGCTAGACGCTGAGAATACACTGCTGAATAAAACAAGCATAGATCCTGCCCTCATGGAGCTTACAGACTAGCAAGAAAGACCAACATTATAAAATATTTTCTGACACCAGAAATTTTGTTAAAAGTAAAGAACCATCAATCATCAACTGCTCAGATATTCCTTCAGGAACTGGAATGTGGTTTGGGAGTAAAAAGTATATATTTCGAAGAGATTTCATTTTAAGGCTTTATTTTGGATTGTATTAGTCTAAATTTGTATGAATGCATGCATCTGTGTGTGTTTTAATGATCTCACTGAAGATCACATAACCATGGTATTTAATAGATCATTGTGGCCTCCCAATAAGAGATATTAATTATAGGTTAACCTTATGCACCTATTTTAGATTCTTTGTAGCTCTATTCTTAGAATCTTTAATTGACATGAGAATTATCACTTGATATATTATTTATTTCTGGTTCATTTTCTCATATTCAAATCAAATGAGAAGATGGAATGTATTGTCATATATATATATATATATGTATATATATATATATACACATACTTTCTGTCACTTATATTAGATATTTGAGACATTAGGGACTATTTAGTTTAAGTTTGGCATTCCTTCCAGAAGTAACATTCTGAATTCTATCTTTACGTGGACTGGGCAACCAGCTAAGAAATGTTCCTGTGCTAGATGGAAATTCATGGAAGCCATGGGGAAGCATTATGTGCAAGGATATCAAGAGGAAAACCCTGTGCTTGTATTTTCAATTACAGTATTATTTGCTTTAATGCAGTTTTAACATCAATAACAGTATAGATATGACCATCGGAAAGAGCAGGTGTAGACGATAGTAGCATCAATCTTATCATTCTTGCAATATTGAAACAAACTCCAGTGAACTTGGTTTGGAGCCTGGTTCAATAGAGATTGTTTCAACACTGAAGGAATGAGAAATTAGAACTTCTGTCTGTCGTAGATGAGCCATAGTAATCTGAGTCCGCTCCTCATCTGGTTCGTGTGTGAGCATTGACGATGGAATTTTTCCAGTGGTAACTGAATGTTTCAGTGGATTTCTTCTGAAAATAACAGACACATTGAGGCATGCTGTCTATCAAGTAGATAAAGATAGCTAACTCTTTTATATATACATATATATAATATATATTTCCAATAATGGAGTTACTACTGCTTAAAATAATACATATACAAATTTTATGAAGTTCACTGGACATATAAACTTTTTGTTGATGATTTTGTACCAATAAAAATGGCTAGTGAGGTAGTATATAGTTCTCAGCAATATTAGGCAAAATAGAAGCAGTAGTGATTAGGTAAGACTACCAAACAATGTGAAAGACTTAAAGATATTTTACTTATCATAAGTATTATATTTATATATATGTTTATATATATATATTTGGGGGCATAAATAAATATTTTATGCTCACATGAGTATAGAGATGAGATATTAAGGGCACATTGTTTTTGTGGATAAAGACTGGTGTTCAAAATTTGCATACAAGCCACCTTACATGATTTTTCCAAAGCAAAACAAAAAACAAGCTCTTAATTGTTGTCCTATGTAGCAGTTTAGCCGCCGTATATGTGATGTCACTCCTAAAGGTTCAAGTAAATGGCGCCACACATACGGCCACCAAGCTGCCACCAATACCTGCAGTCCTCAGCTGAAACACCATTGGTTCTTTTCGTTAATAAATACTTTGCTTCCCACATGCCAGGTACTGTTCTATGTACTGGAGAGTTATCAGTGAACAAGACTGGCAAGGTCCTTGCCCTCATGGGGCTTACATTCTAGGTTTTGTACACACTAATCATGAAGTTCAAATCTGGTTTGAATGGCCATATACTCAAGCAATTCTTACTTTGATGTAAGACAACCAGGCTACTTTTGTGTTACAGGTGATTTCTAGAAGCACAGAGACAAAACAATTACAGGACTGTTCTATGTAAAACTTTAAGAAATGGTCCATCTCTGCAGTGGTTCAAACCTAATGAACGTGGGAACCCATGCTGCAGTGCTGAAGGGAAAAATTCCTAATGATTACCACAGAAAGAACTACTCTAAAAGGAACATGATTCTAGAACCCACAAATTGACATAACCAATAGGATTTTGATGTCACCATCCTTAATAATGACAGTGTAGATGTTGGAATTATTTGTTATTTGTAGTTTTCAGTTTCTTATACCTTTCAAAATAATGAAGGATAAAACAGAACTTTGTAAAGTGTTAACCCTGGTTCTTCCAGGTAGGATCAGATGGTTGGTATCCTATGTAATTTCTACTTACGAGTTATATAAATAACAAAGCTATTGCATAATGATAAATTCTAAGCAAATTAGGGAATACAGTTTAATTAACAGCAACAACAAAATGCTTCTCAGAAGAATCTAGTTTTTCTATGCCTTCATCATTATTGTTATAATCATCATCATCACTACACTTTTTTGAGTGCTCACTATGTGTCAAGCACTGTTCTAAGCCTACTGCATTACTGCAGATAAGGGAGAGGAAGTGAGTGGGTGATTTTGCTTAATGTAGATTGAGGCTCATGGAATGGGGTGGCAAACTGATATTTTAAAGAGCATTTGGAAATCAGATTGGTAAAATTCAACGAATATACTGGTAGTGTTTTTCACAGTAATATATTGAAGAGGTAATATTTTATGGTAATTAAAATCAATGCCACTTTTTAAAAAAATTACTTTTCTGGGAGGAGTATCAATGTGGAACACGATGAATGTTTTAGAAGCAAACTGACATTTCAAAAATTTTTTATGGGAAAACTCTTCAAATCAAATATATGATCCAAATAAAAGATAGAGAAGTAATTCCTGTTTGTCACAGCAAAGAGAGCACAGAGCCACTCAAGTGCCCTGTGCAGTACATTTGCTAGCAAAGAGATGCCCACAAACCATAAAACATTTCTGTCCATGGCTCAAATACATGAAATTCTTTTAATCTCTGAATTTTAAGGTATGTTAGGTAAAAGTTTTGAATAGAAGTGGTCTACTTTAATTTTAATACACCAAAAATGAGCTGTAGTCTTTATGATAAAAAAGATGGCAGTACCCAAACTGTAATTTCTATATCTAGTAAGCTACTTCAGTTTTTCTTCTATCAATGTCTAATATAATTACATGGTTTATGAAATAAAATTATCTAGAAATATTTCCATATAATTGATTGCATAGGATTTAATTTAAGCTCTAAAAAGAACAGTATAAATTATGAATGGAATATACCACCATTTCTGTAACTATAGAATTTCACCTTAGGCATTTATAGACAAAATTAAAATATGCTAGTAGTTCCTATAATATTCTTGTTTTTTTACTGTATTTACTGTGTAATTATTTATTTGTTTTTATTATATTTACAATGACATGAAGTTACCTGCATTTATACTAGATTACTTAAAAGTAATTATACTTAAATTATACTTAAAGCAAATTATACTGTATTTTATCTAAAGTTTAAAATAATGACAATCTTGCATAATAAAATAGACTCTACTCAATATCCAAGTGGATACAAAAAGGCTACTTTAACAATCATACCATAAGCCATTTATTTGATGTATAAGATTACAAAATAAAAATTCCCTTAAAATTAGATGAACATTTGTGAAATATTTCTAATATTTTCCCCTGAAATATGTTAAGAGAAACAGTTTATGCAAAACTGTAAGCCTCAGACAACACATTAATTAATAATGTAAATCCTGGAACCCTGGACAAGTTTTATTTGGGTGAGTATAATATCAGGTACTGACTGATTTTTATTACCAGCTATAATTCACTGGCCAATATTCTTCTGATGTGCTAGAAAGGATAAGGATCAAGACAACTCCTAATTTGTTTATATAAAATTTACCCATCTCTCTTTCATGTGCTGTGGAAATTGATGTGATGGTGGATTAGCAAAATCAACACAAGTAAATAGGCCTTGAGAGTATTTTCTAGGATAACTGCAGTTCTGGCTACTTGCTAACCTTTTAGGAATAAAATTGTATAAAAATTACATAAATTGGACATGATTTAAAAGGTTAGAGAGTTATGGCATGACATTGGTCTATGAAGACTCATAATTTTGAAATTGTTTCAAATCCATGTCTAACATGAAAAACATTTTACCCAAGAACATTATTGACTTTCCATGTTAATTTCTAAGATAATGTGGAGATCTCTCTCAAGTTAATGCTAAATTTTTGTAAACAAAGTTCACATTTCTCAGTGAACCATAATAGTAATCTAAATTGTGAAAGTTCAGAGCAGGGATCTCTTAACAAAACACAAAGAAAATGATAGTTTTGAGGAACTTAGTCTTGGCTTGTGGAACTTGGTTTTGACAAGATGTCTACCCTTGCAAATGCCCATTCATTCATACACTCTATTTTCAGCATTCTTGATTAGCTTAAATGATGTTTTACTTACATTTAGAAAGATGAAGAGTACCAAGCACCGGCGTGTGAGTGTGAACTTCATTTTTGGTTTTTGAGGATGATCTTCTAAGTCCTAGAAAAACATACAAGTAACAAAGACATTTAAATTAATAAATAGAGCTTTAATATTGACTATAGTCAATTTGTTTTTCTTGTTCTTTCTAGTTGACTTGGAGATGATCTTCAATATATTGGTGATGCAAATGCATTTACATGTTCCATTGGCCTTCCTTTCAGCCACGAATGACTGGTGTCTGTTTGTTGTCTAAAGTCCTCCTATTAAGAAATCCCACAGCCATCTTTACGTATCAGGACAAAAATAAGGAATTCAGAGACATCAAGAGCAATCAATGTGGACTTCAGTTAACACGTGTTACCAGTAGAACTGCTGAAAATTTCAATGGAAACATCCAAAAAGAAATCACTTCATTGGTTCATTGGACATGAACAAATACAGTCTATGATTTGTAGAGGATCATTAATCATGCCCTCTAGGTAATTTAAGGCCAACTTTGATTTAAGTAGTCTTTTTAGAGCCTTGAGTATTTTTCTTTCCTACAAAATTTTCAACAAACTTCAAGTTGCTACTAAGAATAAATTGCTTCAATAGCAAGGATTAAGTATGTCACCTAACAGCTCACCATTCCTACCCAAAAGCATAGAAGAGTTAGAAACATGCTGCTGTATTACAAATAACAGTTTTTTATGCCAGGCTTAAGTTAGTATCTAACAGTTTGCCTAATATACTTGCTCCCAAAAGAGTAAGCTATACTCCATTTACATATCAGTAAGAGAAGAGAAAATAAAGAAGGAGAAACTAAAGTTTTCTCCCAGATTGCTAGCATGGGTATAATGGTGGATAGGGAAGGAATTCAGGAAGGAAAGTAGGGGAAAGAGAAGGAGCTTTTAATTTGTCTTTTCCCTTAACTGACAATATTACTATGTGAGTATTGGATGAGCCTTATTTCTGGGGTAAAAGGTAGGACTTTTGAAATGTGTTATGTGTACTCATGAAATTAACACAGCTTTCCTTAATTAGATCTTGCTTTTTTTAGAAGGAAATTATAGATATACATTGAATTTCTAAAAGTTGGCTGCTTATGGTAGTCCTATGATTTAGCCTCTGAGAGAAGCAAAATGTGGGGAATGTTACAGGTGCCAGAATGAAAAGCCCAATCTCTTCTTTAGATGAAAGTCCTACTCATTAATTCCAAATGCGAGGGCTAAGCACAGTGAGAAGTCAGCTTCTCTATGAAGGTGAATATGGGGTGATTAGGCAATTAATTGGCTTCTTCTATGTCATATATTTGATGTCATTTGATATTTTATAAAGTATAAGTTGCTAGGTTTTGGCTCACGGTATCATCACCCTGAGGAGCGTCAGAGGCTGTGGGAGAATTGTTCCCCTACAACGGAGTGAGGCTGCAGTCATTTTGCTGTAGGAAAGGGGAGCCCCATGGTTTCAAAGCCTCACACACTACTTTTATGATTGTACCACGAACAACTATGGTGAATGAAAATAGTATGAACATGGATCTGAGATTGAAAATTTGGAAATGACAGAGGAGTTTAGTCGAGAAACAAAGTCCTTTCCTTTTTCCAATAATTGAGAGGTGTATAATTTTACATACTCTTGCATGATTTTGAACTATAATAAATTTCTCATGTACAATTTTAAAGCAGATCTGGGCTGTACCAAACTTAACTCTGGTCAGAAAATTTCAGCTGTAATTCTCCAGGATTAAATAGTACTTTGCCTCTCTTTGAGAGAAGTATTTCGTGGTGATCTGTGAAGAGGAGAGAAAGATCATATAAGTAGAATTATGAAGAAAGGGCTTTATGAATTTAAGGAAGAAAAAGAATGCCTTCTTCATGGCAAAGAAGAGTAGAATCAGAGTGGTGAAGAAGTAATTCATCTTCACTAAGATTCTTCCAAGGAAGGAGAAAAAAAAAAAAGAATGAAGAAAGTTAAAAAGAACAATGAATGCGGAAACCCAAAATGAACTAACCTATAGCTTAGTTGAATGGATGATTAAAGAATGGATAGACTGTAGGATGGAATCAAGGAAAAAACTTGATGGAAAGACTAACATGGAATTTCCAGTAGGTTAGGTTCAGAAGGACTTTATTCAGTTTTTTAACCCAAGAACCCAGAAAGAAATCTGGAACACAGTGCTCAGTAAATGTTGGTTGCTTAGTTTAAGGGATGACGTAGGGTCAGAATTTGGTAAGGCAGTAAGCATTATTCTTTTCCCAAAGAGTCATAGTTGTAGAGTTAAGAGATTCTAATTTCTGCTTTTACTTTTATTATTTCTTTTGTTTTCGTCAAGGAGTTTCACCTCTATGCCAGTTTCTTGTCTATAAAGACTCCTTAGCCATTCCTTCTTGAGTAGGAGAAGAACACACTTCCATACGGGAAGCATAACAAGCCCTCTGGATCTGTCCAGCAGTCTAGTTAGGGCAGTGGTTTCCAAGATGTCTCTTAGTCACCTTTTTCTAAAAAATAAACATATATATATATGTTTAACATATATAAACCAGATGAATGTGGAATCCAAAAACTTGATTATGGAGCCTGATTTAGAACATGTAAATGAAATAACCTTGAACAGTGGTTCAATTACTGGGTGGGACAACAGAATCTGCATTGCTTTGAATCTACAAATGAGCACTCATCACTAATCTTTTCTCTAGAAAATTGTATTCTTTTGTCACAGAGGATGAGTAGGTCAGTGGAAACCACTTTTATTAATACACAGAGTATAAATCACTAATTCAGTGATGATGAGTGAATAGAATAATCTTCATTGAATGAGAACAAACTTCCTTGACATGTAAAGTTATATTGTTTTTATTTATTTTTTTGTGGAAAGAATATGAAATGTCAATGTCTGAAAATAATGTGTCTATTCTCATAGATCAGCATTTCCAAAAGTGTATTCCATAGAATAGCAGTAATCCCATGAGAAGCAGCATAAAATAAAGTTTCCATGGCCAAAAATGTTTAGGAAATTAAGCATTTCCTATATTCTTCTTAGAGATCTACTATAGACATTAGCACTTTAAAGTATTTAATTTTCCTGTACCAAAATCACTAGTTTGACTTTGTCTTCATTCTCCAAACCTGTTTGACTATGATAAAATTTTTTTTTGCAATAACATTTATTAACCCATCTACAGAATATACTTTGGAAAATACTCTTTTGGCTCAATGGCAATTTCTAACCCACCATAGTCTATTAAGTTTGTAAGTCATGAGAAAGAGCTGCCCTTTTACTTAAAAATTTCTTTTTTCTCCTCCATGGAGCAAAAGTGGAATTTCTGAGGTCTTAAATATTCCCTAGCGTTGGTACAAAGCCCAAAGCTATAAAAGGCATCTCAGAGGCAATTGCTCCTTTGGAGCAATATTTGTTAAGAACCTCTCCCCTAAATCCCTGGCTATGAGAACATAAGTAGGATGAGGGTATGCACAAAGAGTAGCAAAGAGAAGAGACCGGCACTGCTTATCTCAAAATAGTTATAGCTTTTTGTCACCTACGGGCTAGAATTTGTTTCAAATTTGAAATTTGACATTTCTTTTGGGAACAGATCTATCTAATAAGTTTCTGTAGACATAGTCCAAGTGAACAGGTAAATAAATTTTGTGAAGCCACAGGGTATGCTGGTTTGTTGCCTCAGCAATTCCTTGGATGTTTGGATAACTCCTTGATTATATGATCTATTAGAAAGTTGTTCTTCATTACTACAGGAACTCATTTGTCAAGACATAATGTCATCATAAACCCAATTTATGTTGACGTATTGAACAAAGCAGAATGGCTTTTTGCTTCTCATTATGAGTTTAAAATGTTCATCTAATTCCAAGCTCCAAGTTTAGTTAGTAAAAACTGGTGTCTCTGCAATGGGGAGCTGTTTATTTGGTAAACAGGTTGGCACATCATGTAAAAGAACCTATATGAGAAGGGAAGCAGAATAAAAATGATGTCAGATTTTAAAAAATGACTTTTTCTTTGACTCTTGTCAATGGCCCGACATAGTAAGTGTTCAATAAACATTTATTGAATGAAAAAAATAGCTTGCCTTTAAGCAGTTGGCTAGGCAACATCAATCAGTGGGAAATCTTGGAGAAATGGTTCAGGATCACGTGCAGTTCAAAAGTGTGAGATTACTCAAATGGATATTATTAATGAATAATTAAATAGGATTTGGTTAATTAAGACCAATTTGAGGAAAAGGTATTGTGACCTCATCAATACTTTCTAGTACTGGATCTCCAATAGAGCCATGATAGAGAAATAAGAACTGTTTGATTCAAATCAATTTAATTAAAAACACGTCATGCACTTACTATGTGTGCCTTAATATCATCTCAAAATAAAGTTCAGCTTCAATATGAGAGGTTGGAAGAAAAATAGTCCAGTCTAAAGGGTCAGCATGGGCAAAGATGAGGATGTGGGAATCACTGAATATATTGAAGAAACTCTAATTGTGCTGGTTCTGAAGTTTATATTCCTGGTCATTACATATATACTGCCATCTGACATGAAAGGAATACGCTCAGCTTTGTACAAATGAAATTCAAGTTGTCAGCAGTGTTGCCCATGCGGAGAACTTAAAATGCACATGATTTTAATTACCATGCTCACTGCTTCTCTATAAGCTAGTAACTTTATAAGCTCATGGTCTCTGTTGAGATCAGCTATGGTGGATATGGGAAGAGGTGTCAGTGCAGTGTAAAGGAAAAAAAATCTTGGGCTAAGGAATAAGGAATCCATATTCTAACCCTAAAACAACCTCTAACTCATTATGGACTTTTAAGCATGTTACTGCACCTTTCTGGACATCAATTTCATTATCTATAAATTAGACGGACTCTAATTTAGGGTTCTTATCACTCCAACATTGGCTGTGAGTTGAATTGTAATAACATAAAAATATATTTTGGAGAAAGAGCAAGCATAGCAATTAGATAAATATTGGGTCTTTTTGACACCCCAGTAGAAAATAAAGATAGCATTTTCCACATTGTGTTGTCCAAAATAT